ATTGCAGAGCTCATTTCATTTCGATTATCACCATCAGCCATTGTAAGAAGTTTGCAAATCTTCATTTTTTCGATGGACCTATCTTCAATGTAATCTTATTTTCGTACATTCTCGTTATTGTGATTTATTTTTCAAAAATTATATATATTTGTTCCTAGGAAATTACTATATTATTGTTGGACATATCTGTGATCTAAGAGTCATTAGGGCATTCACCCTTACACAATACATTGTCCAAGTAATTATTAGTAACAACTGGCATCATGCCCTATATATTTCAAATCATGCAACTTCGAATCCATTACGCATGACGTGATCAACAAGGATGATCTATATTGGGGAAAACACTTTAGGACAATTGAACTCTATTAGAGACCAATAATTTTCTTTCATGCTGAAGGTTGATTATGTCAACATTATGGAAAGCACCTCAAACATTCAACTATATGGTATACTTAAGTAATGAAGGATAATTAGTTATATTTTCCCCCTTTTTTGGGCGAATAGTAATGTTTATTGCTTTTATCATAATTCCCCTACTATTATATTGTAAGCACATTATGCATAGTTGGACCACTCTTGAACATTTAACTTGCATAACGAAGGTACAAAACACTCATGACATGCATTTCAGGTCATCTATCATAAATGTTATTATATACGATAATTCCCCAGCCAACGTTCTAGGCCCAACGCTAATAGCATACAAGATTCACAATTGGCTAAATACCATTGACGTGACTCATCCAAGGATTGCAAAATCATAACGGAGACTGTACCGGAAAAGTCAACGACATGATATTTTATATTGAAATCGTAATTCAACCGTTCATACAGTTTAATACCACCTACCGACATCACTTCCGGTAGGAGGAACTGGTCGAACCACCGGTACGGTATGGTCTTCAATCCTTTCACTCATTGTGACAAAAATTGAACAAGATAAGAGTAAAGAGGTAAGATCCGTTGTGACATGCTTATCTTATTGCAAACCAGACCTTGGTTATTACTACCCGTCAGATTTTCTTAGGATTTTTCATTTTTTATCTAATGGCCTACTAGTTTAACAAGTCTATAAATATGAGAGACCTTTTCTACACCTGATCTCGTCTTGTAAAATGACGTAATAAATATTGACCACTTCATTCGCCGTTAGATCAGACACTTCCCTCTCCGTCATTTTATAACCAACATTAACATACAATTTCGCCTTGCCATTTGTGTGCAATTTTTAGCTCTAACAAATCTCCTTATTTATGACTCCACTATACAATTCTGAACAGGAGGATACATGCACGCTTGAATTGAAACCACCAAGGTTTTTAATAATTGAAAAAAAAAGGTTCTGAGAGTAAAATTGATATAATATGGTTACAGGAGAGGATCAGCATCCATGGGCTGATATATGTCCAGATCTCTTGAATTCCATCTACAGGAGACTCCCCTCCCACATCGACGGTACTCAATTCGGTTGTGTATGCAAAAACTGGCACCAAATCCACTCTGAGGTCGTGCTTTCCAATCCCTTGCCCGTGGACATTAACCGTACAAAATTCTCAGACTTCGATGTCATCGAAGTGCGGGAAGATGACAAGCTTTTCGTCCAACCACGTCGCGAAACTCAAATCCCGGAGAGGCTCGTAGGTGTCAACGTACAGATCCTTGGGAGGGCGGGCGCGTGGCTGCTTCTAAAAGAGCGCGGAATTTTCTTGGGTTGTTACAATCCTCTGCTTCGAAGTCCGGAAAACTATATCGCTCTTCCTGAATCGAGTTTGCATTTTTCTCACTATCGACGCAACTGGACGCCAGTCACAATCAAGGTCGCATTCTCCGCGCTACCCACAGCTCGTGACTCCATGATCCTCATGGTATATGGCGATCGTTATTTCAGTGTGCTTCGTTGTGGTGATGACTGGATGTGGAAGACATACAATTTCTCTTTGGCTAGGAAAAAGGGACAAACTTGCCTCGGTGTAGGCTACGGAAAGGGCAGATTCTTTTGCTTATTTGAAATGGGAGATATGGTGATTTTCAGCACTGACAAGAATGAGACGAGAATGCTGCTAGCGGCCACCAAACCTTTGCATCTTGAGCGACTCGAGCAATGGGATAGTTTGTGTGTTGTGGCAGTGGTGACAAAAAAAGCCACGTCTGGAAGTGATCAAAATCATGAGATAGGAAAGATTATGAAGTTTACGATAATCACTCATTGGGAGCGAGATCATGAGGCGCGTGACAAGAACAACTTCAAATTGGTGACAATGGTGGAAAAAGTTACCACGATGGCAGATCTATTACTGGATAATGATGATGATGGTGATTGTGAGATAGTGTCAATGCTGGAGGATGGGGGAAACAACAAGGGATTGATTGTAGTGAAAGACAGGCTGCCATTGAAGAGGAGTTTCCACAGCTTTTATATTGTCGCATTATCTTTTCTTCCTCCTCTGGTTCTCCTTCTTGGTGCTTCTTGGATTGTTAGCCTTTTGATTCGCAAGTTGAAGTGTGGTTAAACTCAATGTAATGAAGGGACAAGGCTTGTGATTATTTGGTTGAATAAAATTGAGCTGACGATGCAAACCATTATTAGTTTTTATATTGTTGTACTTGTAGCACACCTTATAAAAATGATTTGTAGTTTTAAAAATTGAAATAGATTCTTCAAAGTGATTTGTGATCCCTCATGTGATATTAATAAAGATTTACAAAACCATGTTTTTGTATATGATAATCTTTTAAATAACCACTACAAGAAAATAGGGGGTATAGAGACAATGCAAATATGTCTCTACAAGGCATTTATTTGTCTCTATATCCCTACAGATACATATAACACATTTGTCTCAAGTAGTGCGGTTGTTGTAGCCCTATAGAAATAATATGGAGACAGATCTCATTTGTTACTGAATTGAAATATAGTCACTAATATTTTAGCATCTAATATCTCTTTCTAGTGACTATTATTTTGCATTTATATCTATTTTTACCAACACAAATATTTGTCTCCAGATAATTTTTATTGACAAATGATTTTGCCTATAATATCACTTTGAGGGACAAATCATTATTTTTAGAGAAATATTTTTGCCTCAGATATTATTTGTAGAGGCAAAAAATTCTGTTTATGAGGAGATCTTTTGCCATCTTTATATGAAAAAATTATTCAAATCCAATTTTATTGAGACAATCGAATGCACAAACCACTGCATAAAAAACAATTAAAATACATGTACAATCAGTTTACATTTACAAATGGGTTTAAATTTAAATCACTGCATAAATACAAATAAAGCCTCTCCCAATATATCCAGATATTAGCTTTCGCTTCCGTTACAAATAAAATACCTCAATCAAATACAAGAAACCATCTAAAGTTCTTGCCTACATCAGACTATATAATGAACTCGTTTCTCTCCGCTTGAACAATCCTCTCTTGTTATTCCTTGTTTTGTTTGATTCCATACACATCTAGTCTACAATACAGACAGCCATATATCTATATGTTCAAATTCCTTCTGTAGCATCTAATTAAAAAAAATTATATTTATTATTATGAATCTGTCTCTATAACAAATAAGTTATGAAAACTATATTTAAATATCTAATACTATATAATTTTTAGTTCCACATATTAATCCCTATAGAAACAATTGTATATGCGTAGTTTATGAGCTCCATTTAGAGACAAATAATTATATATATATATAGACAAGTTGTATATTTGTTATATCAATGTGCTTTTAGAAACATATATTATATTTGTGGCGGTAATTTTATGAGATGTTTCCACATGGCTTGCATCTCATTCTATTGTACTTCGTCTTTCTAGAACCCGTGAAGTATTCTCCGTTGATAGCTCTGAATTAATATCGTTAAAGAATATAATCAGACATTTAACGAGCATTAGATTTAGTTTATACAAGTGTTTTAAAAACTCAAACTCACAATCCGTAAGATGATACCATGAAATATATTTTTGTTAAAACAACATGAATACATGACAATTTTGTCAAAACAAGAAAGTGCAAGTACTAATTAAATTTTTAATTAATCAAATGATCGAGACATAATTTGAGTTAAGGAGGATCACCCTCTAGAAATAAAGTTGACAATATTAACTCAAACAAGCATCATTTTCACATGTAAATAAACTAAACCGCTAAACGCATAAGATATTGTTTCCTCCTATTGATCAGCTGACTTGCCAATGGGTACCGTTGACCACTTTACCTCACCAAGGGATGAATTTGGTACTTGGTAAAAAAAAAGGGATGAATTTGGTAAAAGAATCTGGAAATCCTTTGTTAAGTAACAGATAAGGGGTTACAGTCTGACAACAACAACTGTTGGGCTAAAAGAAGAGAAGCTGGCCCATCCAAATCTCTAAGGCATTTCAATTGCATTGTGCATGGGTCAGGAAGTGGGCTGCACCATTTTCTTCCCTCCCCAACAACGAAAGCCCATTTTTTCCACTCCCAATCTCAACTCTTCAACAACCATCGCCAAGCTCAAACTAAGGCATAAATTCGGATCATCAATCTCACTAAAAAAACACAGAATCTGACTCAGACCGTTACCATTGCAGGCTACAGTAAGAAACCTACACAACGGCACATAAGTTCTTGACCAAGAAACGAAAGCAAAACCACCATTAAGAGCTGTCAAGTAGGCAAGGCAATTAGTTTGTTATAGCTAAAATTACAGGCTCAAGTATGGTTCCAGAAACCAAATAACCAAGAATCCTAACCGAGGAGCACGCACTGCAACAGATCCAGGCGACTGAAGAAATTTAAGGCCCTGGTTTACTCTTCAGATACCTAAAGTTATTGCCTGTAGTTGTCCCAGGAAAAGGATCGGAACCGCAACCCTGCGAAGTATTGTGGCCAAGATCGCGGACGATAGATGTCGAATCTACGAGCATCAGGCTGCCTATCGTGCTGCACCTCTCCCTCTTCAAGATCATCACCAGCTAGTTTACTAGGATCTTCGAAACTACCAAACCACCCTTTTTTCCCCTTATCATGAATCTGTTTGTTGGGTGGTCTATAGCCGTCGAGGTAATTCCCCAAGTATATGAACACTCCCATAAGCAGAGAAAAAAGGATTGCCTGTAGCGTGTTACTACTAGCTTCAAGGTCTTGGCTCCATACTTGGGTGGCAGTGGTGCTGTCCAAAACAGATGACAAAAATGTTAACTAGATAAAGAAGTGAGCAAAAGACAGACAAAGTTATATACCCAGTCATTCTATTTATGTGTTTAAATCATCCATTTATTCATTCATTATGGTCAGAGAAGGCATGAAACTAGTCATAGAGCACAAAATCGATAAGACCATTTAAAAGAATTTGATCAGGAGACTCACCAGACCCAAACCATGGTGTATTCGAACTTCACACGAAACTGTAACCACTTGGACACAGATAATGCATAGGTACAGTAGACCACCACTAGCCACGACTCCATCTTAGCTTTCGTGACGAGAGTACTCACTAGAACAGCAAATACAATTCCCCCAGCCTGTATATTGGACTTCCCAACTCTCCCAATTACCTTCGAAACCAAGCCATTGTCAGGCCACCAACGGCCATTAAAGCCAACCAAAACAAATACTGTAAGTAGATGCGTTCCAATCACAGCGCTCATCCAATCCAAACCACGAGTCGTACCTTCTCCAGACAGGCTTGTACCAATAATCACAAAACCTGCCAAAACCGCAAAAGTGGCCCAAACACCATAGTTCCTATACTGCCACTCCCGAAAGCTTTCAAACCATCCCCCGCAATCTCCACACATGTCATCTCTCTGCACAGCAGCGCCAAAAGAACCATGTCGCCGCCTCACTGTATGACCAAAACCATGTGCTTCTTTGGGGTCGCTGAAGCCACCAAACCAACCTTTTTTACCCTTATCGCCGATCTCGTTGTTGGGTGGCTTGTAGTCGTCGAGGTAGTTTCCCAAGTATATGAACACCCCCATAAGCATAGAAAAGAGGATTGCCTGCAGCTTGTTACTACCAACGCTAAGGTCTTTGCTCCACACGAGAGTGGCAGTGGTGCTGTCCAAAATAGATGACGAGAAAATTGGCATATAAGAAAGTGAACAAGGGATAGAGAGGAGGAAATGAAATGAACTTAATTGAACTTAAGTAAATGAGGGGATTTGATAAAGAAGACACCAAAAGAGGGGGGTTTGATAAAGAAGACGAAGAGATGGGAAGAAATGAAGGAATACGACTTGAGCTAAGGGAAGACCAAAAAGGTCTTCTTATGACCGTGTGCTTATTATTAAAACAATGAGAGATTCTTAATTTCTTAAACATGAACCCACACTCAACAGTCGTTTACTCTTAAGGAGGAACAATCGTGCTTCTTATGACAATCTTATAGTGATTGAAGGACTGATGGCTTATCCACACTCAAGGCAACAAACTTCAAACCATTGAAATAAAACAGAGCAGCCGACTTTAAAAGATAACATCTAGGCTCTAAGACAGTGACTTATCGACTGAATCAATTCAATAAGGGGTCCTAGAAATCAATTTCAGAGACAGAGTTCTACGCACATTCATTCTATCTATGCATTCAAACCATTCATTCTCATCAGGGAAGGCTAGAAAGTAGTCACAGAGCACAAAATCAAAAGGAAGCATTCAAACGCCTAAAAAGATTTGAGCAGGGGACTCACCAAACCCAAACCATGGTGTACTCGAACTTCACCCGGGAGAGCAGCCACCTGGAGATCGAGAATGCATAGAAACAGTAAACCACCACCAGCCATGACTTCAGCCTGGCTCTGATGACCAGGGTGTTCACCAAGACAGCAAACACTATACCTCCAGCCTGTATAGTAGACTTCCCAGAATCCCCAGGCATCATCGAAATCAACCGATGCTCAGGCCACCAACGGCCCCTCAAACCAACAACAAAGTAAACGATCAGAAGATGGATTAAAGCAATAGGACTGATCCACGCCAATTGACTAGTAGCCCTCTCTTTTGCTTTCTTCTGCTCCAAAGTCAAATCACTAGTGTAACCTTCTCCAGCCAGGCTTAAAGCCACAATCCCAACACACGCCATTGCCGCAAGAACTGCCCAGAAGCCATACATTCTATACTGCCACGCTCGGAATCTTTCCAACAGTCTCCCGCAAGGTCCACAAGCTCCACATGAACCGTCTCCACGCACGTCCGCCATTGCTCACCTTTCTTCTGTTCGTTGACGAAACTGGAACAAGAATCACAAGAAAGAAAACGACGAGTAAAGAAGGAAGGCTCAGCTATCCCTTTCCCAGCGACGCCGACGGCAAATCACTTCTGCGACGCCACGGCTCCATGATCTTGAACGCTCGAGTCTTGATTTGCTTAGATAGGGGACGGGAGGGGAGAGGAAATGGGAATGGCGGTGAGATGAGAGGGTTTGGGAGAATTGGGGACTGATAAACCCTTCTCGTTCCTTTCTGAACAAGAAACGGGGATAAGGACAAACGAAAATTTACTGTCTGAGAAACCCCTTGCAGTAAAAACAGCAGGCTGTAAAAGACGGTTGTTCTAGCCTTCTTGGTCAAATAATGGTCTTTGCTAGTCTTCGGTGACTTTCTACCTACCAAATGAATAACAGAATACAAATCGGCATTTTGCCACATCAGCATGTCATCGAAGCCAAATTGCGTCCATTGCTCAAACGGTACCGTCTCAATCATCCCCCCATAGGGAACAATTTTTATTAATTGGTATTTGCATATAAATCTCAACATCTGGACAAGATTTCTAATTAATTTCAGTTATACATCCTTAAACAAAAACTCGTTGTTGTATAGATGAATTATAGTTGTAATTAAAGGAGGGCTAGTTGAAAGATACAAGATCAGGTGAATAATAAGGGATCATTTGACAAAATAAATCCTAACCGTTCAGTTTAATTTCAATGGTAGAATAGTAATTGCAATACAATTAGGTAGGGGTGGGCAACGAAACGGGACGGGATTTAAACGGGTACCCAGTCTCGTTTGGAGACCAAAGTCCATCCCATATCCCAAACCCATATGGGAAACGGGTACCCATTTCTCGTACGGGACGGATAACGGGTACCCATACTACCCATAAATACCCAAAGTTTAAACCACTAAAATTTTAACAAAAGTTTAAACCTAACTTGTATTTGTTTAACAATCACAAGACACAAAATACATCCCAATCACAAATACTCGGTTTGCAAATAACACATTCATGAACAATCACAACACATAGAAGTTTCATTCAACACAACCAAATGGGAGGCATGCTGCTACTTTTCTTGTGTTGCTGAATGCAGAAATTGTCCAAATTTTTAGGTTCATGGGAAGCTAAATCTATAGCAGAGAAGCTGAGTCTCACTGAAAGGGTAAGGGCCCTAGGCCCAAATGGAAAATGGAATTGAAATTGCAAGGGTGAGGGTGAAGGTGAAGGCCGAAATGGCCAATGGGTTCTGAATTGGGCTGGGCTGCCTTTGTATTGAATGGGTATAACGGATACCCATATTACCCAAACGGGTATTCGCGGGTAACCCGCGGGTACCCATATTAGGAATGCACAATCCCAAGTCCCATCCGTTTATAATATTACGGGTAATATGGGTACCCGTAACCCTTAAAAAACGGGACGGGTACGGGTATACCCAAATACCTGTTTCCCGTTGCCCACCCTAAACAAAATGGTCATCTCATTGCGCGTGAAAATGTGTGTCACCTAATGGCACGAGGGACACTATCTTTATCTAAGCCATAGTCTACTGTTATTTTGGCATTCCGCCCTCTTTGTCATAGAAGAAGATCCAGAATGAGGTTTTGTGTAACGAATTTATGAACGTGTACTTTGACTCTCTTTATCTACATGATACAAGTGAACTGGTGAGTACCTTCTAAATTGTCCACTCAAAGTACGTAACTTCTAAGCATGTATATATGAATGTGACACAAGGAGCTAGAAGCATTAAGCAAACGGGCCTAGTAAAAGCTTCACTAGTTGCCCCAAAGCCACAAGCTTTTCTTCCATTTCTGCTTGATATTCTCTTTACAATGCTGGTGGAATCCATCTGTAGCCATGCGTTCGGACATAGCCAGCTCTCAGCAGCAGCTCGTCGGCTTCTGCAGGCCCCCTGCTCCCCTGCTGGTACGAAATGGGTTTCAGCTCGCCCTTGTCAATCCTGTGCAGAAGGGGTGTGAATATATCCCATGCAGCCTGTTCGATTCAACACACATGGAATCCAATGTAGTTTCACTTTCGATCCCCCAAAAATATATACTGTTAGTGTTAGCCCGTGGTTGCAGGGACTTCTCATTTACCTTCAACTCATCTCTACGCACAAAATGCTGCTGGTCACCATGAATCCTGCAGAAAGAGAATAGTTTCTAAGTACAAGGGACCTTTGAAGGAATGAACATGTGGTGAACATTACGTGTCGAGGAGGAGGCGTTCGTAAGCATCTGGAATGGTGACTCCATGATAACGTTGCTTGTACGACAAGTCTAGCTCACTCTGGACAGTTGACATCTCCAGTCCAGGCTGCTTAACCTGAAGCAGATCAGGTAAAAATGGCCATCAGGTAGAGAGAGAGAGAGAGAGGACTATTTTAAGAAGGGATCATCATCAGCATCAGATTAAGAATCGAGATTTGCTGCACATACTGCAAGTTTCATGTACATGGCTTCTGAGGGCTGCAGTCGCATAACGAACTCATTCCTTCCTTGCTTTTCGCCTAAGGAAAAGTGGTCAAGGTAACCAAGTATAATCAAAGACATAGACTTTCTGATCGAGTGATCAAGCAAAATCCGCATTGAATGGTTAGATGACATACAATTGAATATATCACCAGGTACATCCTTGAACTGAACTCGAATATCTGCCTTTTTGGAGCTCAATGCTTTCCCTGCCTTCAGAATGAAAGGAACACCTGTGTTTAATGCACCCAGTGTCCATGATCATCAGAGATAAGGCTAACAGCAGAATGTGGATGTAGGAAATCATCAACCAGTTACCTTCCCATCTTTCGTTGTGGATTCGGAGAATGATGGAGGCAAATGTAGGGGTGTTCGAGTGGTCAGGAACTTTTGAATCATCTCGGTAGCCATGGTACTGTCCTAGAACTACCTCTTCATCTTTGATTGGCTCTACAGACTGAAGAACCTGAAAGAAAGAATGGTGGATGAATACCGAAAATATAATTTCATTATTGATTCAAGTTCTGCATTAAAAAAAAAATATACCTTCACTTTTTCATCCCTGATATGCTCAGAATCCAAAGAGACGGGCTTTTCCATGGCTACAAGGCAAAGAACCTTCCATCCAATCATCAGGAAGTAGCAGTCAGTTTATATGACAATCTCATCAATTTACTCTTAACACATGCTAATTTTACTTACTTGTAAAAGATGGTTTTGAATGATATCTCTAATTATTCTGCAGGGGGGAAGAAGGATGATAGCTACATATCAACTACTTAATCCAAGAAACTCTAGGACAAGTATGTTCTTTCCTTTACTATTAAGCTTTGAAATTGATCCTACAATCTCAGTTTAGGGGAGAACCAAATGTTGCATTACCCATATTCATCAAAATATCCACCACGGCCTTCGATCCCAAAATCCTCACGGAAAACAATCTGCCAAGTAAGGTTTCAGTTCATCATTATGGTTAACATCCACCATGGAAAGTGGAAGCAAGAAGATTCTTTCATCCTTACCTGGACATTGTCAATGTTATCACGGTTCCAGAGCGGTACAAACAGGCGATTTGCAAATCGAAGCACCAACTGCAAGATTTGCAGCAGAACAAGAAGAATATTGGTCATAATATAAGCATGATGGAATCTCACCAAAATGAGTAAATGAATGAGTCCAAGCATAGTTCATACCAAATTCTGCACCATTTCTTTCCCCAAGTAGTGATCAATGCGGTAAATCTGATGCTCCCCAAACAACTCTCCTATCTGGGAACTAAGCTTCTCTGCGGATTCCAAATCTTTGCCAAATGGCTTCTCAACAACGATTCTTGTCCATCCACCAAGATCAGCTACAAACATTATATCAGTTTATCTCCATATAGAAGATCAATACCAAAGCTTACCAGACATTGAATTTGGTGCTGCTTTCCAACTTACATTTATTCATACAGCATAACTTGATCATCTTGCAGACAACTGGATAAACCGAGGGAGGAAGTGCAAGATAAAACAGCCTTCTACAACTTCCATCTGCACTACTTTTGGCCTCTTCATGCTCCGAAATTTGCTTATCCAACAACCGGAATCCTTCCTCGGTATCATATGAACCACTTGTATACTTCATCTGTAACAAACCACTTTGTAAACATATATAACATAGAAATATGGAGAAGCCCAATGCAGGAATGGGCAAGACTAACCAGTTGCAAGAACTCTGATACATCTTCAGCCTTAACTGAACCCTTCTCTAGATAACTGCAAACAATAGTTTGAACAATCCATTCGAAGTGCCCGTTGAAGTACAAAGAAATAAAATATGGAACACTGAAAACCATTCTCCATCTCACCTTACCTGCGTATGCGGCTTCTGAGATCATCATCTGACATTTCTGTCCTTGCATACCCAAAGATGTGAAATTCATTGGATTGAATGAATCTCTGACGGATGGGTACACACAATTCCCACAGGGTCGAAAATCAGATCAGAAAGGAAACTGTCCCTCAAAAGTACTTAAACAATCACTGAATTTCGAATTGTGCGCCAAATTAGGCATCGTACCTGGCGGTAGAGATTGAAAAGGGCGGGAAATGTCTTCTTCTTTGCGAGATCACCAGAAGCGCCAAGAACGATGATTGAGAGGCACCCAGTTTCTGCATCACTCTTCTCAAGCGGCTGGTTGCTGGAATCAGCAGTAGATTTCTCCATTGTCGTCGTTTCCACAACCGATCCCCAAGGGTTCCCTCTGATTACGGTGATAGTGTAATCTGCGGATTCTTCTGGGTAGAGAGAAAGAAGTGAGGCAGGGCGAGCCACGTGGACTGGTTCGCTTTCAAGCTACTAGTGCCTGAGGGTTTCACCATCTTTAACGCGGGTGTGTCCAGAAGCGAGGCATAAGTGTAACGTCCTTAGTGGTATTTTTAAAACATATAGCGGTGCATAAGCATAAGCAACGTCCATTCAGATCAAAATAGCTCGAAATTTCCAAAATGACATATGATGATGAATTCAAATTGGACCGTATTATATATCTACCAATATAACTCCGCTATGGCGGCAAATTGTAAGTAGTGCTCTATTACTATTGTAACAGCTTCAAATCTACAATACAAAACATTTATTTCATTACCGATACTTGATACAAACACCGCACAGCAGGCTCCAAAGGGAGCTTTTTATGCAAATTCGTTTTACATTACACTCTCAGCTGGCTTAGAACAAGCAATCCTTATGACACAAGGAGAACCGCCCACATTGTTGTGTATTGATATACTGTTACAGCTTTCCGAGCAAAGCAAACACGGTCATGTCACAGTTTTTCCTTCATAGTGTTGGGGGAATCCAAATGTAGCCGTGTGTTTGAACATATCCAGCTCTCTCCAGAAGCTCATCTGCCTCTGCAGGACCCCGGCTTCCCGGCTGATATGGGAGGGGCTTGAACTCGCCATCATCGATCCTGTGCAGAAGTGGCGTGAAAATCTCCCATGCCGCCTGTTCCATTAAAAAGGGGCATTAAGATTGAAGCCTCCCATAGTTTCCAGACAAAGATGAAGTGGTGATTGTGGTTTGATAACAGTCAGCCTTACCCTCAACTCGTCTCTGCGAACGAAATGCTGCTGATCGCCTCGGATTCTGCACAGGAGAATAGCACACTTGAATATGCCACATAGCACAACATTGAGTTCTTTTGGAACAGAGAAATGTGGGTAAGCTTACGTGTCGAGAATCAGGCGTTCGTAAGCTTCTGGGATGGTGACCTGTTGATAACGTTGTCCATATGACAAGTCTAGCTCACTTTGAACCGTTGACATCTCCAGCCCAGGCTGCTTAACCTGCACCAGACACCGAAAACTCTTGAGCAAATCAGACTTTTTGCAAAGGGTTTGAAGAAAATGTTTATGATCAGAAATTGCCACGTACTGTGAGTTTCATGTACATGGCTTCTGATGGCTGCAGGCGTATAACAAACTCATTTCTTCCCTGGTTTTTGCCTAAACATGAAAACACGAGTCAAGAAATGAAGATTCGACATTCCCAAATCAGTATTGGTACCTGCAAAATGCAGTGCATCAGTATTTTACAAGTTTTGATGTCCATACATCTAAATATATCTCCAGGAACATCCTTGAACTGAATGCGTATCTCTGCCTTTCTTGAATTCAATGCTTTCCCTGCCTTTAGGATAAAAGGAACGCCTATGAAAGAGTGATGCACAAGGTTAAGATACGCAATTCACTCTCATATTTGCTGAAGTGAAAAACAAAAGAGAAATAGAATCACCTTCCCATCTCTCATTATGGATTCTTAATACGACTGTAGCAAATGTAGGGGTGTTTGAGTGGTCAGGAACAGTTGGGTCATCTCTGTAACCATTATATTGACCCAGAACAACCTCTTCATCTTTGATTGGCATTACTGATTGAAGAACCTGAGATTCATTATTCTATCAGTAAAGCCAAACAATTTTCCAAGAAAGAACACTAGGTGGACGAAAATTGGCCTCATGACCATATTTTCCTAAAACTTCTACAGTCATTTCGAGTAAAATTCATTACCAATCGAAATGGAGTCAGAGACAATTAACTCGGAAAACTAAAATGTGTTAGGCTGGTATTAGAAACACGTACCTTGACTTTTTCATCCCGAATGTGTTCAGGCTTCAAAGAAACGGGCTTTTCCATGGCAACAAGACACAGAACCTAACAAGAATGAAGAAGCAACAGTCAGTATATGGTCTAGTCCACGAGTAATAAGTTGATAGTGAGAACCATAATGTTATGAAGTATATAATATTCAGTGTCAGAGCATGCTGCTTACTTGCAATAGGTGATTTTGAATGATATCTCGGATGATTCTGCAAGAAAAATAGAACGAAGAATATGATTTACTGCACACCAACTACTTAAGGTATGGAATCATCAAGTATGATCTGATAAGTACGCTGCATGTTATCGAGTCAAATAACTAATCTATCCAACCCACTTGAGAAGGAAAGTATCAACTGGGCATACCCGTATTCATCAAAATATCCACCACGGCCTTCAGTTCCAAAATCCTCACGGAAGACAATCTGCAGAAAGAAAAAGAAGTAAAAAGATACAAGTTAGTGTCTATTATTACGCTAGATGATCAATATGGATGAAGAGTAGAAGGAGAGATTCACACCTGAACATTGTCAATATTGTCACGGTTCCAAAGAGGCAAAAAGAAGCGATTTGCAAAGCGCAGGACCAACTACAAGAAAAAACAAACACAAGCATGAAGAGTGAAATGAAAGCACGATGAATAAGGAGTCTTACATAAGTCCAGACACCATACCAAGTTCTGCACTAATTCTTTCCCCAAATAGTGATCAATACGATATAGTTGAGGCTCCTCAAACAACTCTCCAATCTGGTTGCTCAGTTTCTCTGCGGAATCCAAGTCCTTGCCAAATGGCTTCTCAACAACTATCCGAGTCCACCCACCAAGATGAGCTAACACAAGGAATAAAAGGCCATGAACAAAGTTCAGCAACACATGTTTCCAAAGCTCCTGCTCATTTAGGCTAAAATCGCTTAATCAGGTAATATATCAGCAATCATCTCAATGAGTGTAACTTACATTTGTTCATGCAACATAGCTTGATCATCCTGCAAACCACTGGATAAACTGAAGGGGGGAGTGCAAGATAGAACAGCCTTCGGGATGATCCTTCCGTGCTATTTCTGAACTCTTCATGAAGTGAGATTTCCTTATCCAGCATCCGAAATCCTTCCTCGGTATCATAAGAGCCACTTACATATTTGATCTGGTAAAACCACTCAGTCATTAACATTATACTGCAGCATGCCACAAGGAACACACACCAAAAGCAATGCAGCTAAAAGGGGCAAAACTAACTAACCAGTTGCAAGAATTCTGATACTTCCTCAGATTTGGCTGAACCTTTCTCCAGATAACTGCAAATAATATTGAATTTGATTGGGATTACATATTGAAGAAGCAAAATTTACAGGAATCCAAGATTAACACAGCCATCTTATCTCACCTGCGGATGCGGTTTCTGAGATCATCATCTGAAATCTTAGTCCTAGCATATCCAAAAATGTGAACTTCATTTGATTGAAGAAATCCCTGGAACCATACAGTGACATTCTTTTACGCAGTTCACCAGCAGAAGAACCAATAAATCAAGCAACTTTGCAGCAAAACTGAAGCACAAGGAACCAATGGCAGCCGCAATGTTTACCTGGCGGTATAGATTGAAGAGAGCAGGAAATGTCTTCTTCTTGGCGAGATCACCAGAAGCACCAAGGACAACGATCGAGAGGCACCCAGTTTCAGACACATTCACCTCAAGCGGCTCGCTCCTGAAACTAGATCTCTTCTCCACTATCCATTGCCCTCCTCCTGATCCCATATTTCCTCCTGATCACTTTCCGCTCTGCCAAAATATATTTAACACCAACCCACTTCACCAAACCAGCTCAAACACCAAACTAGACTACAAAAACTCTGTTTCTAACGAGATCGAGCATGCACGGCAAAAAATCACCAAAGTAAGATTACATAGAGGAAATTCAGAGAACCAATAAATGAGAGAGCTCGAAACTAAATACCACTAACCGTTGAGCAGAGAAAACAGAGAGGGGAAGATCAGGTGAAGTGGGTTGTGAAATCCGGAATTGAGCTGAGCAACTGATCAGAACGAAGTCAAAGAAAGCAGGAAAGAAGAAGAAGAAATGAAAGAAAGAAAGAAAGAAAGAAAGAAAGAAACGATTTTCTTTTGTGGAAGGATGGACAAGGGGGAGAGGTGTTTTGGGCGTTGGAATATATTAGATGGCGTTGGCTCACCAAACTCTCTTTCGCTTTCTTCTTCCGCCTGCGTCGACTGACAGAAGAAAACTCGTCAAACCAGGCCAGCCGCCGTGGAGTCGACAAGTGCCCGAGCAATTTCTACATTTCGATCCCCGGATTCTCGAGTGTTAGAACTTTTGAGGACGGGAAAGTTTCAGTTAGGTGCTTGAACATTGCTATGTCTTTCAATTGAGTCCTGTCACCAAACCTTTCTTTGGAGATTTGGTGGAATAAATTGGACTCTGATGTTCAACAAATCATGGTACAATGGATGCGATCTTGACAGCTAACTTGTTCCTTTTCTTTACTATATCAATATCAATATTTTGCTATTTATATTCTTTTTTTACAAAGATTGGATCTAAGAAGATTTTTGGATTATCGTTGGAGTGGTGAATGTACGAATAAGTAATCTGATTAGTATATCTATATATCATCAATGTTAGCACATGTTGACATGTTTGGATTGTTCAATCTTGACAAATACTAACACGATACCTCCAACGGTTGAGATCACGAGACCATGCAATTAAATCAATCACTAGACTTTATCTAAGAAGATTTCGAATTTTAGCTATAGTTAACAATTGAATAACTGATCTTGAGGTCAGTACCGGTTAATGCCAATAGATCGTTTGGTCCTGTGATCTTATTTACAAAACTAAATCGTCACAATATGATATATCCAAAAATTGAAATTCCCGAGGCCACGTAATTTAAAGAAACCAACATACACTAACCCCGATCTCCATCAACATGCTAGCAAAGTATATGTGAACAAGCACTTACCTAAAAGGCAACGCTTAAAGAGTTAAAAGTCAATACTGTCGATGTAGAAAGGCATGATAGGCAACGTTAGCTGCACATCACCTTCATGGATTCACAATTCACAAGCAAATGCCTTTACAAGCGGGTTGGATCCGGTTCTTAAGCCTCATTGTTTAAGGAGGTTCTTAAGCCATTTTTATTGGCTGATACTAGATTAGGTAGTTAATGAGGGGTTAGTAGTTAATAGTTAGTTGGAATAAATAAGATATTATGAAAATATAATTAATATTACTCATTAATGATTCTCTTTCTCTCTCCCCCTTGATCTTCTCCATAACCCTCTCTCTCCACGGGTTGGATCCGGTCCTTAAGCCTCATTGTTTAAGGAGGTTCTTAAGCCATTTTTATTGGCTGATACTAGATTAGGTAGTTAATGAGGGGTTAGTAGTTAATAGTTAGTTGGAATAAATAAGATATTATGAAAATATAATTAATATTACTCATTAATGATTCTCTTTCTCTCTCCCCCTTGATCTTCTCCATAACCCTCTCTCTCCATTATAATTAAAAGGAAATTCGAAATTAATTTAATTAAATATTATTATTTAATATTTAAAAAATTCAAACTTAATATTTTTTTATTTTTTAAAATGACAATTGAAAATTGAAAATATATACTCTCTCACTTCATGGCAAATTGCAATACAGTATTAACATTTGCAATGACATTATCAACATTTATGAAATGAATCGTTATTATTATACCTCATCTAACGACTTCAATATACTTATCAATTCCTTACAATTACATTATTAACAATTTTGGATCAATTGTTACTGTTTTGTAGTTTCGTCATCAACGCCTATGAATGAATCATTAAAGTTATGTGACATGGACATTAACAGTTTGAATAACAATATCATTGATTTACAACATTTTTAGTACTAATGATTAACATTTTCACATCATGTTTATAACTATCTAGTCATGGCCTCTTCCAATGATTTCTAATGACATTATTAACGTTTTATGATCAATTAATATTGCTTTACATTATCATTCTCAATGATCATAAAGTACAATACTGATTTTCAACATCTTGGGTACTTGTGACATAGTGTACCTGTGTGATTCAGTCAAACAAACATTGTCCAGAAAAATATTAGCTCAAGCAAACCAACATTCACGCCTCAATACCAAACTTTTAATAACAATATAATAAATCATTGATAACGAAAAGTATTTCGTTGAAAATAAACACAAAACATCAATGTAAAAATGTCCAACTTCAACATTATAAATGACATCAATCTTTTAATAAAGATATTAAAAACCATTAATATCGAATGATCAAATCACTGATAAGGAAATAGATTTTTGTAATAAAAAAATATTAATAATATTCAGATGCAATATTTAATGTCAAATAGCATTAAAAATGCATTAATAAGTAACATGTATTTAATGGATAATGCATTCAAACACTTTGATAATGATAGAACTAATGATTGTTAAGTACCTTATTAGATATTATTAATATCTTATTTTTCAAACATTGATAATGCTTATACACACTTATTAATAATGACACCAACTACGTTACTAACTTAGACTGAAAGATTAATAACCATAGTAATATCATTAAACGCAACTTCACTTTTCCTAATGTCATAAACAAACGAATTCCTAACAAGTATGCTTCTTGATAATGACATTTGACAAAGTTAGAAACATAAACGAAAAAATATTAATAATTCAAATCACTAAACATAAGCAATCTTACAAATGAAATAAATTTTTGCTAATGGTTGTATTGTGCTTGAAAAAAAAACATTGATAATAGCGCTTCAAATGATTATAAATCATTGCGAACCTACGATGTAATAGTAAATAAACTTCAAGTACCAACAAATTGAAAACACAATTTCACTTTTGCTAATGTTACAAACAAAACATAACATAAAAAGTTAATAATGTCATATAAAATTATTAAAAAACATGTCGAACAACATTAATAATGACACGAACCAATACCTAACAACGATAAATCCCAAACCCATGCAACGAAAAGCCCTAATGATGATTCAATTTATAAATATTGATATTGTCATTACAAAATGTTACTACTTAATACTAATAGGAAGTTGCCAAGATGTGAGAGAGACATATATTTCAAATTTCCATTTTATAAAAAGAAAATTATTAAATTCGGATTTTATTAAATAGTAAATAAAATTAATTTCATATTTCTTTGTAATTATAATGTAGAGAGAGGGTTATGGAGAAAATCATGGGAGGAGAGAGAAAGAGAATCATTAATTAATTATATTAATTATATTTGCATAACCCCATTTACCCTTAACTACCTATTAACTACTAACCCCCCATTAACTACCTAATCCACTATCAGCCAATAAGAAGGCTTTAAGATTCTCCTTAATAAATGAGACTTAAGGACTTGAACTCAAGCCCTTTACAAGGACTTTGGGGGGTAAAGCATGTAATTAACATATGCCACGCCATATGGAAGATGTTGACCATCCGGCCATCCCCAGTAACTTGGGAAACGACAACTTTCCGGTTACACTTGTCGCCGGCAAAGGCCGACGTTGGGTACATCTCGACAGCTAGAAGAGAACTAAGAACGTTGGAATTAGGTGGTTGGTGAGGGGACGGAGTTAAAGAAGCAAGAGGAGTGGCGTTTTCTCCAGATTTGGGCAATCTGGTGGCATGAACTCTCTTTATTTAAAAGCGACCAAGTGAAGGTAACTACCTGTTTGAGCCTAGAATGTTCTAGGCGGTCTTGAGAGGAACGAGCGACGCGTCTGTTCTAGAGGATGGGGTACTCCAATGCTCCTGCAAAACAAGGGTCCTTGGGCGGTCGCCCTGGACACCCTCCGATGCTTAAGTTAGAGATGGAATAGAGAATTTGTGTTTATGGTTAGAGAGAGAGAGAGTAGTTGGTTTACCATCAATGCAGATATGAATGTATTTATAGTGATCTGGTCTGGGTTTCGGGCATTAAATGCCATTGTCAGGCGTCCTAGATCGACCCCTCTTTACCTAGACCGCCTACGGCGGGCAATTAATGCTCAGTCCTGCGGTGTTCGAGGTGAGTATCTTGGGGAGATCTCGCCCTATACCGAGTAACGGCTCCTTGTGTCAGGCGGCCTACTACCTGTCCCATCCTAGGGCGGCCGCCCTCCTTTCTCTGTTCCCCATGTCTGCTTCTCGGGCCTCCCGACGGGCCTTTCTCCTTGGGCTTTATGTGGGCTTACAAGCCCAGTACCGCTCAGCTATGGCCCAACAATTGCCCCTTAGTCGTGAAAAGCAGAGGGTTTTGGCGGCTACTCTTTACACCGAATGGCTGAGCGGTCCCCGTAATGACCGCTGTCTACCCTTCTGCCCCTGGCCGCCACAGAGTTGCTTTTTCACAGCTGTTCTGGTCTCATCTCTGCGTTATTTTCTTCGTGCTCACTCGTTACCTACACGTTAAGCGGTCGACGTTTATTTTCTAATCGTCCGTAGATTTGAGCGGAGTGCGCTCTGCTCTAAATGTCGGGCGATTCTGCTGTCCACCCCCCTTTTTGTTTGTTGTTGTTTTTTTTTTCTTTTGGGCGGTCGCCTAACGACGCCGTTGTCTACGTGCTCTTGACTGGTTGTTAGGCGATTCCGCTGTCCACCCTCTTCTTGCTCCGCGCACCTTCCGCCAGTCGACTATTAGGCGGTCGCGCTTGTTTGCGCTTCGCCTTTTGCCGCCTCGTCTTCTGCGTTGCGTCGCACCGCCTTTTTCCTCTGCCACGTGTCGGCCTTGGGCTTCGTGCCCTGACATCGGGCAGCTATCACGTCCAATCATCTGCCCGCGTTTTGAATTTTCGTAGGCTAGGGTTTGCCCTAGGCTACTCAACCGTCGCCTCGCTACCTTCTTGCCTTGCCTATTTATACCTGCCCCCTTTTCCTTCTTCATTCTTCTACTTTCCCCGAAAATCCATTTCATTCTCTCTCGCCAAGATTGCTCGGTGCTCCCGTTTTTCCCTCTCTTCCTACTTGCGCGATAGCAATTCTCTGTCTCCGTCGCGAGCAGACTTCCTCGCCAAACTCCGGCGACGTCAGAAGCGAGCCAAGAGGAAATTCCGGCGGCAACTGACGATGGATTCGCATAGCACTGCTCCTTCCGACAGCCAGAACCAGCATCTTTCCGGCGACGTGGTCGCCGTACTGACTTCCAGCGACGCCGGCGCTACTTCTGGTGACGCTAGGACTTCTAGCGTGTCCCTCGCTCGTCGGCGAAGTCCGGGGGCGGCTCCGGCGGACCGCAATCTGGGACCCGGCAAACAGCTCCAGGTATAGTCTTCCTCT